GTTCCATATGAAAATTTAAGCATAATCCCAGAAGGGCAGTAAAAAATAGTGTGTCGGCCAAATGCAGCTCCTGGTCACACACATGGCAGTGGCAGATCGTTTACCCCCGAAAAACCACCACAGTGAGGTAAAGTCCTTGGTTTAAACAGTTCCTTTTTACAAGCTCCGGCTGCTCCTCTGGTGACCTGAGCAGGACAGTGTGGCAGATACATATAACATGCAGCAGGGTGGTTAGGCCATCACTGGTTTCCACCTTAGCGCTCAAGGAATAGTTCACCATTTTAAGAAATAAGCTTTCTTTTCGAGAGTTGACAGTGGAAAGTTGGTACTACTCTCTTTTCCTTTAAATATGCAACAACAACAACAACAACAACAACCAAGAGATGGTTAGCTTAGCTTAGCATGACTGCGAACAGAAGGGAAACAGCTAACTTGTTACAAAGGGAAAAAATATCTTTACCGCTAAAGCTCAGTAATAAACCCAAAATAGTTCCACATGTAACCCCCTATAAAATCACAACTTGTTATTTTAACACTTCAGTTTTTGTACGGATTATTGTAATTACATATAATGTGTTAATTAGTAAGTTTATGAGGTGCTTTTCTTTACTTTTGATGACAGCCAGGCCAGCCGTTTGCTCCCATATTCAGTCTTTATGCTAAGACAAACCAGACACGATGGTGTTATTGATCTTCTTATTTAAAACACAGCAGCGGAGAACCATGCATCACCGGCTGGCTTCAGACGAGGCCGGCTAGCAAAACAGCTAGCTCTGCCGGAGGACTGTGGGTCCGCGCCGATGGCTAGCAGCCTGGCGACAGAGAAGCACAAACCAACAGCTAGCTCTGACTGCTCCACTGTCAACAACGGCACCGAGGTAAAGCCTAGAAATCCGGTATTTAAAAAACACGTTACACAAAAATGTTTCAAACAGTGAATCAAGCAAAAATAGTGTGGGATCCTCGGTGCAAGCCGAAGGGACTATTCAGTGGACATTTACATTTCCGCAGCATCTGTAATAAACATGAACAGCTAGAACATCTCCTCCTTGAGTCAAATATTGACTGTTTGGGAATATCGGAATCTTGGCTAAAATAGTCGTCACCATCCACTCTTGTAACTGTGTCAGGATATAATGTGTTTAGGAAGTAGGGCTGCACGATATATCGTGTCGTGACGATAATCGCGATATGCGCATGCGCGATATTCACATCGTGGACGTGCGATATTAAGTAGGCAAATTAACTCAAACACGTCATGTTACAATTATTTTGCTGCTTGCTACAAAAGGAAAACTTGCGCGGCTCTCATGTCAGGGGCAGCGCCATATAGATAGAATATATCTATGTATCTCTCTATATGGCGCTGGTCAGGGGTACTTGAGTGAGTGACATGCAGGCTCTGCATGCACAGCAAACCACAATCAAATCTCCAAAGCAAACGGACCCCGTGATTAAAGGTAAAAACACTGAATAAAGTAGTTTCATGTGTTTCTCCAGGGCAGTTCGGCGCTAACCGAGCTAGCTCAGCTTGTTGCTCTGATAACTTAAGATCCAGACGTCCGTGACTAAAATCCTTCATCCGGTTAAATATAGTTAAATAAATACCAATTGTATAGCATTAAAGTTCAAGAAAGGATGGTATTTTCTTCAATTCCTGTATGTTTTCATATCGCAATATATATTATATATTGGGGGGGGGAAATCGCAATGTCAGTTTTTTTCTATATCGTGCAGCCCTATTAGGAAGGACAGACTGAAGGGAAAAGGAGAGGGTGTGTTGCTTTATGTGAGGAATACCATTACCTGTAGGGAGATTGCACTCCCAGCTAATATTGAGTTTGATCGTGTTGGTGTGGAAATCACACTTTCTGAGGAAATGTCCCTCACCATGATTTGCCTATATCGACAACCCACCGCTAAGGTGGATTTCTATGATCAGGTAAAACTCATGCTGAATTCCTGTGACTCCAACAAAGAGCTAATCATTTTAGGAGACTTTAACATAAACTGGAATGATAAACAAAATAGAAAGAACTTAAAACGGATCAGGGATAAACACAACTTAATACAACTAATGGATCAACCGACTAGAATAACCAAAACCTCCAAGACTATGATAGATTTATTATTTACTAACAAAGCTGACAGAATAGTTTAAACCTACAACTTACTGACTGGTCTTTTTGACCATAATCTTGTTCTTTTTACAAGGAAACTCACAAAAAAAAGGTTCATGGCCACACCTAAAACCCCTGCCTTGGGTTCTCGCTTCATTCCCAAAAATCTGCAACAACGTTTTATGGATGCAGTGAAAATGATTGATTGGGGGGACACTCTCTCCTCTGAAGATATTGGTGAAAACAGTAATCTGTTTATATCTAAAATGAATGATACAATGTCTTCCTTCTCAAGGAGAGGGTGCCTTAGGGACAGGAAGGAACATCTTCCCTGGCTGAATCTACAATGCAGGAATCTAATGCAATCTAGAGACCAACTATTAAGGCAGAGCTTGAAATCCGGACTATCCACTGATAGACAGAAATTCACTCATGCTCGTAACACAAACAATAAGACAGGCCAAAGCTAACTTTTTCATCAAAATAATTGAAGGTGCGAAAGGTAACGGTAAAAATGTTTGGCTAATCCTAAATAAACTATTAGGTAAACAAACCAAACAGGAAAATAATGTTCTAGAATTAAAAATCAATGATGCCCTGATAAAAGACCCTGCAGTGTTGGCCAGCTCTCTCAATGAGTATTTCATAAATAGTGCTTTGGACATTACAAAGCTCTTCCCGCCATCTGAGGTCTCACCTAGCCCGACTGTGGATACACATCCAGTTTTTGACTTGGAGGAAATCACAGAGGTTGAGGTAAAAAATATAATCTCAGGGTTAAGAGGTTCTAAGGCTAGGGGTGCATATTATTACCAACTTTATAAAGACAAATACCGACGGTCTAATAAAACCACTTACTATGCTAGTGAATCAATATCAGCACAAGGGAAGTTCCATCATCCTGGAAGGTGGCCACGGTGACACCGATCTTTACATCTGGGGATAAGGCAATGGTGTCCAAGTATAGACCTATCAGCATCCTCCCCTGTGTCTCTAAGATAGCTGAGAAAAGGGTGTCAAAACTAATCACCAAACATTTAGACAAAGGTTTCGCTCCACTCCACCCAATGCAGTTTGGTTTTCTTACTCACCACTCCACTGAGACAGCTAACTGTGTCTTTGTGGAAAAGGTTAAATGTATGTTGGACACAAGCCCATATGTAGGTGCTGTCTTCTTTGATCTCAGGAAGGCTTTTGACACTGTTGACCACCAAGTGCTCCTTACAAAGCTGACTAATTTCAATTTTTCGGCAGTTTCGATACATTGGTTTAAGTCTTACTTATCGAACAGAAAACAGTGTGTTTTGGTCAACGGTGCCAAATCCCCCTACCTTGTCAACCCTGTTGGGGTTCCACAAGGTTCCATTCTTGGACCGTTACTTTTTTCACTGTACATTAATGACTTGCCTAATGTATGTCCTGAGTTGAATGTGCAAATGTATGCTGATGATTCGGTCATCTTTATACACGGGAAAAACACTGAAATTATCACATCTTGTCTCTCAAATGCTTTGGGCAAGGTTCAACACTGGCTGAACAACATTTGCTTACAGTTAAATGTAAAAAAACAGTATGCATGATGTTCAGTAAACGACCTGTCAACATCGAAGGATTAAACGTGTTTTTAAACGGAGCAGAAATAGAACTAGTCTCCTACTTCAAGTATCTTGGAGTCATAATGGACTCGAACTTGACTTTTAAGAAACATATCAAGAAAGTATCCAATACTATTAAATTCAACTTGCAATATTTTAAACAAATTAGACCTTTCTTAACTGTCAATGCTGCAAAGTCATACCTCCACTGCATGATTCTATCCCACATTGAATACTGTTTCACAAACTGGTCGTTTGCTTGTGCCACAAACCTGAAACCCATAGAACAGCTGTACAAGAGAGCTATCAAGGTGTTTGACAGAAAGCCATATTCATACCACCACTGTACCATCCTTGAAAAACACAATTTCTTGAGCTTTGACAATTTTAAGTCTTTTAAAAGTATGTGCTTTATTTATAAATGTTTACATGGACTGGCCCCCCCTCCCTTAGGGGAATTCATCCACAGAAAACACACTGGACGCTGCACTAGGTCAGAAACCAGAGGAGACTGTTAGGTCCACCGCAGACGGACCACTTTTGGACAAAATGTACTTTCCATTAAAGGCAGCTCATTGTGGAATAGCCTCCCAACTGAGACACGGGATTGTCCCACTCTCAATAGTTTTAAAGGTCAACTCAAAGAATGGTTGAGAAACAAACATCCGTGCAATCACCACTAAATGCACTTTAACACAGGGGTATCTCCTCTTGCACTTTATGTAGCTCTTGTATCCTCTCTTGCACTTTATATGTCGTTGCTGCTATAGTGTACTGCCATGTGATAAATACTTGTGTATGCTGCTCTTGCTCTTTTGCACCTTTTGCATATCATGTATTTTGTTTTTGCTATGTTTGTAAAATGTTAACTTCTTAAATGTTTTATGTGAGGGACTGCGGATGGAAATTAGCTCAAAGCTCAATCTGGCACTGTTACGCTTGACACATTTGAATGTTTTAAGTGTTCATTACTGTGCATTGTCCCTGCCAAATAAACGATTAAATTAAATAATTTTCTTTTTTTACTCAATTCATGAATTAACTGATATGTTTTAGCATTGAGGACACAGATTGTGGTAATGTTATACGGGACTGCATTATATTAAGAGGTATTTCTAATATTCTACAATAAAACACCACTTTGACCTGAATAAGAAACATATAATTGACTTATGCATTTGAGGCAATGTCACCGAAATCTGAACATTATTGGTTTTGGAAATCTAATAAAGTGGCTTCTCACTGGTACATTTATTTAAAATCAAAGAAGTCAAATAATCACAGACTGTTTACAAATGATATTTATTTATTTTTTCAGAAAAGGTTACTCCTTACATTAAAGCTCTAGACAACATAAACTGCAGAAAAATGGCATGAACAAGCGAACACCACCACACGTAAATCAAGTCACCTTAATCATTACTTTGACTAGAGTCTTATTTCTTACTGAGCGCAGTCCGGGTGCAGCTGTTTTAAGCGAAGAAGCCTTTCCATCACAGATTAGAGGGATCGTATGCACTCAGGTCAGCATTCTCAATCCAGATGTTCCAGTCAGGAGATGTAGGGTTTGAAGTGGTAGAAATGTGGACGAGAGGATGCTGTATGAACACTTTTTCGTCGTCTTGGGCAGGACCTGACCCTCGACCTCACCACTTGGCCTTCTTCTCCTTCATGATCTTCTTGCTCTCCTCTCTCCTTCGCTTGTTGACCGGGTTTCGTGGGTCGTGGATCTCGAAAGTGTCCTCGTCTTGCATGGTGGCATCTTTGACTTTTCTGCTTTGCTCATCAAACTGCAGAACGTGGCCCATCCTAAATCAGATGAAGAGGTGGAAAGAGTTTAAAGAACTGCAGCAGAGGATCCACTAAATCACTGCTCTGTAGAACTTTTACTATCTCTTCAAGCTTCGAGCCAGTTGGAATATAATATTATCACAAAAAAAAGGGATACAGTTGAAATTGCTGTTATTTGTTTAAGGCGATTAATCCTGGATATGATTATCTGAATATAATATAATATCATTAACGTAAAAGGGGCCTTATTATGCTTTTGGGGGTTTCATGTTGTGTGTAATATAGGTTTTAGTGCATGTAAATGGTCTGCAAAGGCTAAAATCCCCATAAATATTCTGTATTGCTGTCTGTGGGAAGCTAATAAACAGTAATGTGTATCAAAGGTCACACAAGGTGTTTTGAACACAGCTTTAAAGCCTTGTTAGGATTTAAAAACCCAGGAGATGCCTGGCAAAATGTTAAAGCATGATTGGAGTCTGGCTCGGATATATACAACCATAGATATACTCTGGTATTCAAGTTATAGCGAAAACCTCTTAAAGACCACTTTCTTTGACAGAGGAGCTTTAAGCAGGTATCTGAATAGCTTCTCTGTACACAGTGAGAGATACAGTAAGAGGGCTCAAACTTTTGAGACATCTTAGCAGTTCAGAAATCCAGAAAGAAATCCCTGGTCCCCGGAGAAAAGACGCTCATGTGTCTTTCATTTCCCTGGCCAGTTTCTCTTCCCTTCAAAGACAGATTAAAGAATCAGGACATTCCTCACAGGAGATATCAGTGTCAGGCACTTCTCAGATAAAACACATTTTCTCCCACTGACATGATTTCTTCAGCTGCTGTATGAATGCTATCTGTAAATCTAAACAACAAAGCAGGACTGACTAATCGATTGTAAAGGACCCATTTTTAGCCACGCAGCTACATCCGCCTACATTCATGTCTGAGTGGAAAATCCTGTTTCAGATATACCCCTGAATCAGTGTCATTCTTCCACTTTTTTTAACAGACTGAAATATCTCAACTACAACTGGACAGATGGCTTGGACTTTCATTTAGCACTATTTTTATGAACATTTTATTTTATTTGTCTGTCCAATACTTTGGTTTATGACCAAATACTTGCAAAACTAGAAAAGCTAATCGGAGAGCGCATTTGCTAATATCAACGAGTAAAGACATCGTTCTTTTGACTTTGGTGTGTTCCTGAGCTTCAATTCGAAATATGGAAATGACAAGGACACTAAAAAGATGATGTGTTGTACTGTTTTGCTAACAGAGCTGAAACAAAACGTTGACAGCTGTTACAAAGTTCTGGTTTGGACTTGAGAGGACGTTCGTGAACATTTTCCAATCCGGGAACATTTTCCAATCCGGGAACTAAATGTTCTGATTACTCAGAGACAACATGAATGCAGCACGATACCTGCAATTTTATCAAAAGTGTCAATCTGCCTTTGACATCAATTTACATCTGGTGATTAGGTGCACCATCTCTAAGATAGCCGGCTTTTCTACCCGGACAGCTATTCGAACATATCAATCTTTCCTAGCACCCAACCCTTAGTCTTGTTTGAATACTTAAGGTTCAGGTGTTAAATAAAGAGATGTTAGAATGCTTTTTAAACATATCAGGGCATTTTATCTAGACAGAAGAGGTGCCAGAGATAATAAGGGAAGGGGGGGGGGGATGACGACATGGAGCAAAGGTCTTTGATTTCTAAGCCACCAGTACACTGACTGCTGTTAACAATGACACAGTAAGGCTCCAATCATCCCGCCTTGTGTCAGAATCTTTGAACCTCCTCTTTTAAGCTGATGATCAACATGTCTTTATTATCTGCTAGAATACAAATATTTACATGACCTTGTGCTGTATATGTCTGGCAGTATGTACTCTAAAGTGTAGTTCAAACCGACTGAATTAAATACAGTAACTGTGTATTCTTAACTGTGTATTTTAGAATGTTCTGATGCCTCGTCTGTTTTTGGCATGTGGTATGCGTCTGCTCCGTTCCCTGGCTGAGCGCTTACAGGTTTTGTGTGTGTGTGTGTGTGTGTGTGTGTGTGTGTGTGTGTGTGTGTGTGTGTCTGTGTGTGTGTGTGTGTGTGTGTGTGTGTGTGTGTGTGTGTGTGTGTGTGTGTGTGCTCTCCCCAGTGTTCATTTGAAATCGGTAGGAGTTGTGACAGCTCATCTAGGATGTCATGGCTAGACTCTGGCAGACCCTCAGGACTCCCGCTGTGAGCGCGGGCCGCCTCTGATAATTTGTCTAGCAGTCTCAGTGATGACAGCCGAGTCACACAGCTCCGAGACCAGAGGTGGAAACACAGGCTTATCAAAAGCACTCTGCGCTGCCAGGATGCTACAGAAGCTTCCCTAAAAAACATTCCGCTCAAGTAGGGGGTGGGAATTAGATAGATAGATACTTGATTCATCCCAAGATGGAAATTGTTTATCACAGCAGCATTTTGACAGTCAATGTAGAAGAATAACAACATTTCTTAGAAATAGAATAAAATAAAATGTTGTTCGTTAAATAAACATTAAACATTTTTTAAATTAAAAACTACGTATGCTCAGTAGAAAATACATATTCAGAAGAGTATGTACACAATATAAAATATGCAGAATAAAGTAGAATACTCTCTAATATATCAAACTACTGAAGCGACAGAAACATATGTGTATATAATCAAATGACAATATGTGTCTGTAGTATATTTCTAGATATTTCTAGAGATTTTATATTGTAGGTCATTCAATTATTAAATATTTTTTCTCAAGATCTATTCATCTATCTATCTATCTATCTATCTAAACATAGTGTACTATACATACAAATAAATGTGCACAGCAGCTTTTAATTCAAAAGTCAAATATATCCTGTGCAAAATTAAGGAGTACAGGAGGGATAGTGAGAGAGAAACTCTTTGCATTGAGAGTGTGGACTCTCAGTGTGTGTATGTGTGTGAGGGGCGACCAAGAGCAGGAGGGGGAGGGGGAGGAGGAGGGAGAGTCAGAATTTGTAGACACAGACACAGATGGAATAGTTTACCTCCTCTGGCCCAGACTTGACTTCCAATGTCTGACCTGTTGTAACCCACATTCTGTTCGCAGCGCTCCTAGAGTGGCACAGACTTCCCACTGGTGTTTTTCTAGGAGTACTATGCTACTGCCCCTGTCCCTCCCTCCCTCCCTCCCTCCATACCTGGCGGGGGTGACACAGTGAGGTGTCTGCAGCCTGGGAGAGGCTCCAAACGCCAGCCAAGGCTCCTCTCAAATTCATTAGGCCCCCCCCCCCCCCCCACACACACACACACTCACAGAGACATGCTGCACTTCAAGGGGGCTTCTCGAGACTAATAGCAACTACAGATTTTGTTATTCTAAATCTCTCACACACAGACACTTTGCTCAAATTCAAACACATGGTATTCATTTCAAACCCCTACTCTTGTGTAGTAAGACTTTGAGATCTTTGGTGAAAAACAGAATATGAGAGGAAAACACAGCGTCAAGGCTGATTTCCTGATGGCCAATCTGGTGGCTACGGGTTGAAATCCCAACTTGACACACACACACACACACACACATATACATACGCACACAACTTGAACTTTCACACACATTTATCAAAACCATGAAGTAAGCTTTGGATCTGGTCAGTTTCATCATTCCTGGTGAAAAGAAGGATTTTCTGAGGTATTTTAGTGTCTCATTCAGACTTTTTGTTACAATTAATGCTTTCTTTTCGCGACCTCTTGCAATCCAGTGTTCATTACGAGGGTGTCAATTGGAATAACAAAAGCAGCAGGGGATAATGAAAAAGACTTCTCAGCGCCAACTTTTCACGCTCCAACTTCACCGTCCACAAAACAGAGTGTTTGCCAAACTTCTTCTTGAACTCTCCAGGAGGCACTACTCAGGACTCTGGTGTGCTTTCATGCTGCTCCTGATATTTGTTACGCTAAATAGTGTCAGTGATTTAAAGTTGAGTAATAAATACTAACGCGGCAGCTATTTCATTCTCTCTTATCCTGTATTCCTTTTCCAGAGGCATAATCATTTATACAGTTTATCATGAAATACTGAGAAAAATGTCCTACTAACTTAAGTTGGTATGAAATTACATTAATAAAGTGACAAATACCTAAGTAAAAAAAACATTAACAGACAAATGGGACCATATATCAAACCAGATAAAGAAACATGAAAGAAAAATAGCATTGATTCAAAGTTTTAAAATCTTACATTAATTGAATATATTAAGACTGTGCAAATATGCCTGTAGTGGAGACTGATGGGGAGAATTAGCAGATGTTTTTTTGGTCTGTGTCTGACTTTCATACAAGCTCTTCTCGTTTTGGTTGGACTCAAAAGTGTTGTCTGAAAAATATTCAGAATGTGTGCCTTTTTGAAGCAAAACAGCAGTTTGCTCAAGCTACACTACCACCTGCAAGGATTGCGTAAATATTGTCATCACTCAGTTTGGCCACTGGTTTTCACGATATATAAAAAATAGAATTTATTTTATTGTTTGAAGAAATATATATATACAAGCCCAACCTCTTCTTAGTTTTTGTTAATGTAGCACGTAACATTTTTGTTTTAATCAGATATTTCTAGAAATGTGGCCAAGCGACTGGAGTGTGTGCTGGTGTAGTATTATTTCCTCAACTTACAAGCTCAAAGAGCCTTACATTTAAATACTGAAAACAGTAATAATGTTGGTCATAAGGACAGCCAGCATTTGAAAAAGACGCTGTTATATTGTTCTTCCTATCTTTATCAATCGTTCTTGATTTAGCTTTGTTAAAATCTAAATGTTGAATGCGTACTTCTCTCTGCTCCTCGCCTCACAGTTGACTTTTTTTTTGGTCAACTGGCAAATAAATAAAATAAAATAAAAAAGTGTGTAGATTTCACAATTACAAACGTCCACAAAATCAATGAAATATAATCTCCACTCATAAATCTTAAAAGGTATCAGGCTCACCATCCTTTGTCATCGTCCTCTGCCAGCTCCTCCACGTCCTCCTCTGGAGCATCAGTAGTGATGGCCGAAGACAACTTGGACTTGAAACGATTGAGGAGTTCCAGTGTCTACCAAAAACATCAGACATAACTTCAGATATACAGTACAGGTGGCTGACTTAGGACACAGATCCCACTCTGTGTTTTATATTCAGTCATTATTGAGAGCACACTGAGTAATATCACCTGTTGTTCTCTGACTGAGCCTTTCTTCAGTTTTTGTTTCCTCTGGTCTTCGTACTTCTTCCGTCCCTCCATATACTCAGCCACCGCCTCATTGCTTGGCTTTTCTTCCACTGGAGAGACAAGAGAGGCATTACTTCTGATAACTATTAACTCTTTTTTACTTCACTTAAATAAAATATGGCAAAACAAACAAAATACAACAGGAACCTAGTTGTGCAGTGTGAAGAAAGGTTTCAATTGTGACACACATTTCACAAACATCACATACAGCAGACCAGAAAGGGAAAAAAGTGAGTTCATGCAAGTGTTTGCCAGTTAAGATTGAAGGACAAATAATCACCTTATTTACAAATACTTTGATATCAACCAAAGTGTTCAAAATTGTGGATAACCTTGTTTGTTTGATCAGAAACCATACTGTTGAGATGAGAAAGTGATTGATTTGCCCCTGATGCAACAAGTTGACAACATTTGAGGAGAAGAAATACCTCTGCTTCACATGATCTCCTGCAGGAGACAGATGAGGAGCCAAAAAAACACGCCTAACATGATTGGAGAAAAGATTAAAGGAAATTCAGCTTGTCAAGCTGCGACACCTGATCCATCCCGCTGACAATTTTCACAAAGATGTAGTTGACCGAAGCCCCGACCTAGTAACCCTTTAATTTATCTTTCTTGGAGAATACCTCAAATCTCGCTGCTATCTGGAACAAACAAGCTTCATGTATCTGATGTCTAAAAGGCAAGGAAAGAGCTCTCAACTCCTCAGCGGAGACACGTGAGCAAACAGTGTGTGCATTTCATCCACTGGACAAGGAAAAACATGGTCAAAAAAGAGATTAAACTAGTGTTAATAAAAAACTAGCAACTCTTTTGAAAAATCAATCGACAACTAGTTTGATAAAATCATATTTTTAATAGATTTTATCGTCTTTTTATAAAAACGTAAGCTCTTAACATTCACTGATTCAATCTTCTTTAAATGTTTATTTATTTCAACATACAAACCATTATTTAACGTGAACATTGGTTGAACAAAATTACACTTGTAAATGGCACTTGAAACTTCTCAAATGTTACATTCTCTGGTTTTCTGTAATAAAAAACTCAATATCTTCGGGGTTAAACCAAACATGACATCTGAAGACATAACAATAAAATGGTGATGCTGTTTTCACGAATTTTCGAAATGTTATGGACGATATTATTTATTGAGACAACAATCTATAATGAAAAGATTGTTAGGTTTAGTTTTAATGTAAAAGGGGACACTACAGCTCTAAATAAAAAGGTAGGATATATACGCGTCATATCAAATGCAGGCACAAAGAGTATAGGTCCCAGTGCAGACTTGGATTCTGGGAATCATTTTCCACGAAACTGTCCTCTGCAGTATGTGCGAAGCAGTGCCTCATCATGGATGAAAGGAGAGACAATCAGCGTGCTGACATTGGTGCCTCATGCAGTTAATGTGCTCCTGTAAATCTCCCAGCTTAGACACACAGGCTGTGAAGTCACAGAGTGGCAGACAGTGAGCACAGTCTGCTGCAGCACAGTCTTTCCACGGCAAAATGTGATGTCACACACACATACACACACATACACACACACACACACACACACCGCTAGCCCCGGGACAGCTTCTCCTCTCTGGCCAAACTGTGCCTCTCCTGGCCTGCATGCTGGGACACATTCAGCTGCACCAAATACATGATGTAACAGAGAAAACAGTGAAGAACACTGCCTGTCATTTAGAGCATAAGAGATGCAATGTTATGAGTTTCTGTAAATGTGTATTTATTCAAAAAGCTCTTTATTATGAGCAGTAAAATGCTTACCAAGATACACTAATAAATGCTAAATTACAGAATAAATGCAACAGCATAAAACACAGGGGGGGAGATTTTAACTCATGACACAGAAATGACTATTAAAAACAAACTTAGTTGATGACAAAAGTTTATGCTGCATTGAATAAATTATAGTCAGAGTTCAGTCTCAGTTTTCGCAAAATGAAGGCAAGTCTCTGTGCACTAAGCAGCTCTCCCCAAAATCCCTAAGGCGTTACTTTCAATACGATTTAGAGGGGTTGAAATATGGGTTTTCTTCACCTGAACAGTGTAAGGCTAGATGTTTCCCTATTTTTATTCATTATGCTAAGCCAGCCTTACATTTACCGGACAGGAACTAAAATGATTGCCCAAAATGTGGAACTGTATCTTTAAATTACGAAACATTTGACTCACTTTATTACTTTAAGTTGAATTTTTATAATAAAATGTTTTCAGATGTAAGGTAGAACTCTGTAAGGAGTTCATTTGTTCCCCGAAAAGTTAACCTCGGGAGAAACGCGGCAACCAACTTTCCAATCCCACAGGGAGTTTGGGTCGACTATCACTTATGAAAACCGTGCAATTATTCTTGTGTCTCTGCGCTTTGAATACTGAAAATACTGAGCAATTACTGGAATTTCCAAAACGCAGCTCTGGAAATCCAAGTGCAACATTTCCCCGGGTGTCAACATGGAAGTTTGCTCTGCTGCTCGAGGGGCAAATCTTTTTTTCTCTTGATTTATGGGACCAACAAGTGATCTCCCTCCATCTCTCCCCCAGTCACCTCTCCTGCTCCCCCCACCCATCACTGCAGCCTGTGACATGCTAGATGCTGACTGATGACGCCCCGAGGTCCTCCGTACACACATCACCTTCTCCAGCTGTTGTCGCTAACTACCATCTTTGAGTTTGATGGCCTTTCTAACTACATTCCTCCCCTCTGCTGTCACCTGGGCTCAAAAGAGTTACAAATCAAGCCGCTGATGTTGTAGCAACCAAAAGCTGTTGTGGAGGGCAAACGCCTCTTTTATGGGATAAAAGGCTCCCATTCTCTGTTAAACAATCAACAGTTTTTAAAAGAAAAAAATGCCGAGCTGTGAGGTGACATGACTGTTCATAATCAATCAAAAACCCATTCATATGTTGTCAGTTACACCTTTGAGGTCAACAGCAACTATCCATCTTCGACGCAACGGAACAACCGTTTACATAAGAACATATAACAAAGAAGTCCTGTGAACAAAAGTAACTTGTTGAAAAACTGTATATTGAGGAGACAAAAATAATCGCGATCACAGGTAATTGGCGTTTCAAATATCCCTCTGCTGCAGCATTACTTTCATTCATTTCAAAGTCAACAACTTGCAAGAGGCAGCAGCGTAATAAAACACCAAGGGCACACAGGCATAACCTGTATAATATCTAAGTGGGATACAGACTGCTGCCACATCATTTAAGGTGGGTATTGAATGGACAGTGGTTTCAGAATGGCTCTCTTATTTTTGGCTGCGGTACCAAGCATTCATGCCAAGAAAGAGAAAACCAGACTACAGGAACATGCTATAATTTATGTGATGAAAAGTGAAGGGAAAAAGGTGAATTATGAAGAGACAATTTAAGTCTCACTCCAATCAACGTCATGCACATGTGGGCGGCTGCTGCTGGTGGAGCAGGATGAGGAACGGTCTTTACTGAATTAATGCAGAACCGTGATGGGATGGTCGAGAAATCACATCACCATTTATAGCAATATTACAGGAAGCGCTTTAGACCACTGCAGTGAAAAAACCTTAAGTGTCTTCTATGTTTTTATTATTTGAATTCATGGGCTGGGTAAAAGACAGGAATAACAGGACGGTTACTGCCTTTCACTATTAGTTTAGGCTAATGGCCTTAGCTTGATACATAGCAAAACGGTGGGAATGAATAGAGCTAAAAAAAAAAGCATCCACTTTAGCATGACACTTATATTAAAAATCATATTCATATCATATAGAGTGCCACAGTGACGCGTCCTAAAACCCGGAAGTAAGGGTTCGCCAAAAAGCAATGCAATTTCTCCATAGGATTTTGGAAAATAGCTGGAAATAAGGTCTGTGGTTGACACGCATTGAAGAGACGGATCACGTTTTGTTCTATGACATTAAATACATCAGCAGTGACCCCGCTGGTGATTTTTGAAGAGTTTACGTGTCTGAAAAACGATGGTTGTTAACATGTGGCTGAATAGGACTACAGAAGTTGTCGAGGACGTTGTACGTCAATACGCTGAACACGTAAACACTCCCGCTAAGTTTGTTTGCCCTGTTCTGCTTGAAAGCAAGTACCTGCCTCCTGCAAATTGTTCAAACAAACGCTTCAACTTGTACAATTTTGAATCTGTATTTTTGAATATGGATCTTAAGTTGGCGTGACGTTGGCTGCTGTAGTTCGTTTATAGCATAACGTTAGCATTTTGCTTCTGGCGATTAGATTTATGATTCGAAAAATTATAAAAGTAGGGTAGACATGTGGATATTATCCGGCTGAACAAAACGTGATCCGTCTCTTAAATGTGTGTCTACCACAGACCTTATTTCCAGCTATTTTCCAAAATCCTATTTAGAAATTGCATTGCTTTTTTGTCGAAGGAACCGGAAGGAGTTTACTTCCGGGTTTTAGGACGCGTCACTGTGGCACTCTCTTAAGGTTTCACCTTAAATCAAACAAAAGATTGAAAACTACAAAATCCTTATGGCAACTATTATGACGATAACGATAGTTGTTCACCTCTTGTCAAATGTTGGCAAATGTGTCTGCGCAATAAGACACCAAATCTGTACTTTTTTCCAAAACGTACTCTTTTGTAGGTTCATTGTAGACACAAGTTACTGGACGAAATAGCACAGTTTGAACCAGCAATCTCACACTCTCCTATAGTCTGTTGGGTGCACCAGAAACAAGTGAAAACTAGAATGGCACTTGGAGAGCGCAGACCGAGCTCGGCCAAGGCCAAAAAAGCATCATCATGACCCCTAGTTGCTCCCATTTCCCTTCTCAGGAAGTCTTTGTTCCACCTTTGGTGTGATTGAGCTATAAGTCGTATTGTGGAAGCTTAAAAGAATATGTGTTGTATTTTATTGCTCAGAGCATTCACAGAAGACATCAATATTTATTTTGAGGTTGTAGTTCTGACCAAAATGGACATTCATGTACATTTTTGGCGTCAGACATTTTTTTTTCCGACTGTTTCTATACCTCCTGAATGCAGCATAAATGCCAACGAAAGCAAAACATAATTTGTGTTCCTTCCCTTGATTTGTATTGGCTCGAAAAAATGTAATGCTTTCATACTTGGGACATGCCCTTCCGCTAAGTTTTTAATAAGAATTCTACTGAATTTGGGGAATATAGAAACATAGGACGTATAATAGCTCCTACATAGAGCCCTTCAACAAGAAAATAATGAATAAAACTTAAGAGACATCATGAACGCTTAGGTTTGTCTCTTTTTCTCGCTTTACTCAAGTAACTAAAGAAGGGACACAGCATACTGGGTTGGTGGTTCTTCATTTAATTTATTTTAGTATCATATTTACTTTTGTGGAAAAGCGGTCGTTGACTTATGGGTCACTTCAAATGAAGTCAAGTTTGTTCCCGCAGGACCATTGTGGTGGATTTATGGCCAAAGCGAGGCGCCACCTTTGGCTTTGATCGCCGCAGTTTGCACAAGCTGTCTGCAGAAATCTTCAAACAGTTAACGCACACAAATTACACAGGTCCTACTGGTTCTGTCAGCCACTTGATATTTAATGCATAAGAATATACATTTTCCTGTAATTAAATTAGTAGAAGTGTGAATTAGTTTTAAGATCTTCTATTGCATTTTTTACAGATGACTCTATTTAATGAATAATTAATTACTTGAAAGGCAAACCATAAAATAACTACATTTGTTAGTTACTAAAGTTAAATATTCTCTGGTTACAGCCTTGTACGTGTTTATATTTAGAGATTTATTTTGTTTTCTGAGATGGGTCACTGAATTTCTTTGGGTTTTGGACAGTTAAAAGAAATCCAAAGTTTTGAGACGTCGCCTACATCTCTGAAACGTTTTATAGGCTTAGCTGAATGATTGAGAAATTAAACAACCATAGAAATAAATGCTAGTGGCAGCCCTTACACTGACCAGTTTGAGAAGCATGCGAATAAATTAGAAAGAGGTCGACCTTCACAGAGATGTCAGAGCAGAACCAGGAAAGTAAATTCAGCATTAAGGGACGACAGTGTCAATACCCTAAATGTGTGTGTGCAGCTCTAAATGCTGCACAGCTTCTCCAGTGGGATCAGATGAAACGAGTCCTCACCACAGTGTGTTTCTGTGGCCGAGATCAGCTTCAAGATATACAGCATTTCAGCAGACATCCGTCTCCCCTGCACTGGCCATTGGCCCATGACATCTATTGGAATTAACTGTTGCTTCCAACACAGAAATGTAATGAGGAACTCTCAAACGAAACTCCTGCCTCTGGCTAAGCTGCCAGAGAAGCACAAAACAAAGGTCCCCTGGCAGAGCAGACATACCTTGTAAGATAATGGAGCAGCTTAGGCTAGCTGCCACTTGGTATAACAATGCAGGGCTGTTACAGACTCAACATTAGAGTTTATAACTGGATCTATTAAGAAAAGGCCTCTTTCTGCTTAGGGGTGTTTATAGAAACAGCTATGTAGATATCACTAAGAGCAACACATTGTGTCAGACTGACCAACAGAATCCGAGCTAATCTTGCTTTGAAAGTACAATATGTGTTTTGTGCTCTTTTACTTAAAATCTTGAACCAATCAGTTGGAAGTCAAGAGTGGGCTCAGTGTCTGTGTTTGAAAAAAAAAAAGCCACAGTGTTTGTGGAGACAAAAACAATGTTTGAGCAACAAAAGCCCATCAAGGTTTTCAGTAAATGTTGGCTGATGTTAATCCCAGAACCCCACACGAACTATATTATTTGGTTTCACAATATACACACAACCTCAAACCAACCTCTTGGTCTGAGCAGCATTTGTAACTTTCAAAAAATGTAAAAAAATCAAAAGATTGACAGCATTATGACAGACTGCAGTGTGGTGGAGACCGGAGGAGGTTTTGAGGGCAGATTTTTTACAGACTCACCCTGGCCAAAGCTGCAAACTAACAAACACACCAAGAGTTTGATGTGCAACTATGGCGGCCACTCAACAATTTTCACCCACGCATTTTTCTGTGAGCTCAAACACAAAAATGCAGACCCTCGGAGGGGGGAAGAAATAGACGTCTGCAACTAATTGACTAAATCAGAGGGTTGCCTGTCTTAGTGTCCATTAGCAGAGAATGCAGCACGGACCACCCTCTTAGACTGTTCACACTCAGCGCTTTATGCTGAGAGAGTCCTTTCTCAAGCAGCTAGTTGTGGTGAGATACATGTAGAGCGTATTATCAACCACCAATAAATTCACAGCATAATGAGTTACAGTAATACACATCCATCAGTAAATGGAGGGGCAATAAATGCTTACATACCTTCTTTAACCTCCTCCACTGCAGGTTTTAAACTGTCTTCTTTCCTTTGCTTTATGGCCTGTAGATCCTTCTTCAACTGCCGCGCCTCTTTGCGAAATTCATCACTGTGAGGGGAATACAAAATTAATTAAGTTATAAAAATCAACAAATATAAAGTATTACACCTGTAAAAGACAATGATGATGACAACATAACAGGTTCATACACAAAAATCAGTCATGACAAATTTAGTAAATAGTTAAAGCAGACTTGGGGCTCCACTGGCTCCTGCTGTTAAACAAGCGTTTTCATAATAAAAAAATCAACACTCTTATGTTACTAGTCTTCACAAACAAACATCAATTGTTCAGTCTCTCTGTCTGAATATAGCGTTCATGGCTAATTATGTGGGTATAGAAAACAAACATAAAACGCTGCGTGTGAGTGTCAGAGGGCAGAATGTACATTAAAAGCTTATGTTACAACAATACATTTGATGGAGCCTTGATCAATTATTGTTCGCGCCTCCAAACTCAACAAAATAAAAAATATGCTTCTGTTTGAGGATTTAATTTAGTCCAACTTTTCTAAGCATGAATCATTTTGATTAGCTGTACATAAGTAGAAGACGTGGGAAAATATAATTGTTTTACAGGTCACAAGAATGTCTATAACCTTAGAAATGAAGTCCCAATTCAAGACCCATTATGTCTCCCGTCAAGTTTAAGTATAGACCAACAGATCCTAAGCCTAGGGCCAATCCAAGTCTCCAGTCAGGACAACCAGGCCAAAGTAAAGACCAAAAGGTCTCAGGTCTTAAGATACAAGTCCAAAGTACAGACCATGAAGTCCCGAATCAAGACAAAGTACTAAATCCAAGGTTGTCCCAAGTCAAGAGAGGCAAGCCCTAACTCAGTCAAGACCAAAACTCCTAAATCAAGGCAAAAGTAATGTCTAACAAGCCCAAGCTCAACTTGCCGCCAGTCTTTACAGGAAAGTGGCAAGTAGAGACCAAAAACTCTCAAAATCAAGTCCAATAACTCCTGGTTCAGTTCCAAAACGTTGTGTTTCAAGTCATGGCTTCACAAAATATCTTTCATTTTAAAGTCAAAGCGATGTTGCTAATCTTTTTACATTTGTCAGGTCAAGTCATCAGTTTCATTACTTGAGTCAACAGCTCTAAGTATATGCATGGAGATATACGCATGTAAAGCAGAGCACAACACTTTGGACGGAAGCTATATAATATTATTGTACGTTGTGTGCAATAAACTACATACACTTCCTGTGATACATGAGATGAAACAACCACCCAATGCTGTTGGCAGAAGGAATGAAATACTTTATACTTCCTTTCCTCAAGTGGCACAACATTACAGGCACTACTCATGTCCAGCCACCCTAATAAAACCTTTAACTAGATGACAGAGGCAGGCCAAGGCACATCCTTGCTTCCTCGGTAGCGTCCCCTTTGGCCCAAAGCCCAGCTCATGCAAGGCCAAATGTAAGAGGTCTGAACCAGAGCTGGCAAATGCTGACTATTGTTCCCTTTCATATGATTGAGACTACCGCCAGTTGCAGAGCAGATATGTTTTGTTAAGAAATGATAATATTTTCGTACTGCCTGACAGCTCTGTTTTTGTCCCATTCTCTCGCGGAGCCACAGAGCACAGGTAAGCTGCTCAGTCTGGGCCCCTGGCCTAGAAACATGTGAGGCATCTCCAGACCAAACAATGGCTGCCTTTGTTTCTTACATCTGCTTCTCTGGGCTGACATTCATTTACATCCTTTTTTTCAACCTTTTATTTAATTCTTCTGTTTCTAGCGTTCCAAACACTCATGTTACCTTTGTTTAAATCTCTCACATTGTCTGTGACAAAGCATTGAGGCATCAAACTGAGTGATATTTTAACTGCAAGTGTCTTGGCAAATATTAGCGAGACTTGATGTAATGTCTCTTCCTTGTTAGCTTCCCTGCAGCTCCCGAGAGTACACATGAGGAATCAGTCAGACATGCTGCTGTAAGTCGTCTGTTTTCCCGAAGTGAAAATGTTTGCAGCTGAATCCAGACTGCCAAGAGCAGCGCTGGTTGGCAGAGGGAGTCTGTGTGAGGAAGTGGCCGCTCAGCTCTGTCTAGGAGCAATGACAACAAACCTCTTTTCTGAGACACACTCAGATGTGACAAACCACAGGAGGGCAGAATAATATAATCATTCAAAGACTATAGCTGCCATTCACAATTATACAATTCACACAAGAAGTGAAAGCCTAGTCAAATATGGTCAAATGTATTATTTTTGGGCTAGTATCCCTCCATTTATGACAACATATTGACATCCATCAAAAGTAAACAAAAATATTGCAGAAAGAGGACGAAATAACATGAAGTCAGCGGTCTACAATTTAAAGTAGTTTAACTTTCATTGCAATATGTCATCATAGTTTTTGAGACTTTTTAAAGACTTATTATCACTTTGTTACTGGGTTGTCAGGTTCTTGGAAAAACCTTTGACTACTACAAAGGAAACTACACATACTGAATGAGTCATTCATTGAATATCAATTGGTTGTATTTGTGAGATGAAGAAAGGTTGTATACATTTCCATTCATTAAAAAGGGCTACATGATTCAGTATTTCACTCCATTAAGTGGGGATACTCACACGCTCACAAAAACAGCAGATGCCAAATATAGTTTTGATCCTTTTCTAGTTTTAGTTACTAATATTGGTCCATCTGGATCCTACACTTCCCATAATGCAACATTCTGGAGAAGATTTCAGGTCTCAAAGCTCATAGTCTCCAGGTTTTCTTTTATTAATTAAGTTCACAAAGCTTTTGCAGAATGACAGGCAATACAACCGTTTTCACATTAAAACGTACTACAACTGATCTTTAAGGGTATAAATCATTGGAGTTCCAATTTAGATAAACATAAAGCAACTTACAATGCCAGATAACTGCCCACTGTATCAGGCAAATGGTGCGATATATATGTAATGTAAAAAAGGAAAACATTCTTGAAAGTCATGCTAACAAAGTCAGGCCAAAAACTGCATTAGCAATGAAGAGCAGTGGTTACAAATCGGATTATTGCTCACAAACTATGACCTCAAAACTAACCTGAATATATTGTGTTATGTTGTATATACAGTGTTTGATCCCCCCCCTTTAAAATATACAGTATATACACATGTTTAGTGCTTGTCCAGTTCCTCTTGACATGACTCCTTTGTGTTTTAACTAATTATCTATGAGTCAAAAGTATGACGCAAGGCTCTTACTCAGAAACAGAGCAGCCCTCTTCTCCTGCACTGAGAGGTGAGGCTTCATATATCCTGCAGAGAGGAACACTTTGGACTGAGGCTGAGTGATCATTTTCTGCCTGCCTTGACATGCCGCCACTCGGAAAAAACAAGAGACGTTTCCCAGGTAACAGCCAAACAATCGGCTCCAGAGCCGCACTGCCAATAAAGAGAAAGAGGCCAGAGAGGACAGGAAAAGCCCCGACAACACCTGTTAAGACACACCTTGGGGCTCAGCAAATTCCTCCAAGACCCTCACATCCCAACACCACAAATGACTTTCTTCACACTCATGAATAATGTGAGAACAACCCTTTGGAATATACTGGGTAAATCAAAATTTGAGTATTAACGGCAATTTTTTTTAAAGGTAATTGAAGCCAATACACTTATCTATATAAAACATGTTTATATACGAATCCTGGTTACCACATATAGGCCAATAATTGCGTAACATAAAGAAATAAAATATACTTTTAAGATTCTTTAGATATGGGTATTTAGATTCTTTGACCATGACATAGACATTTTTTATCAGATAAAAAAGGGCTTTTAGACACATACTATACAATATATACAGAACAGAATAATGATATACATGTGGTAAACTAAGATATGGCTCATTCAAATATTATTGCCTCCCTTCAGCTAAAAGGATTGATTGATAATGTCGGTAAATCAATTAATCAATTACATATTACTAAGTATTTGACTGGCTATGACATTCCTCAAGCTTCTATGATGTAGCCTGATTTAGATTAAGTAGCTACTTAATACCTAGCAAGGATTTAAGACGCACTATATTTACATGAATAAATACATAAATTCACAGATTTAAGGACAGATGGTGCAAATCAGTCACAATGCAGTAAATATCAAAACTAAGGATCAACGTTGAACAAAATGTATTTAAGGCCAGGCCAGTAATAACACCTAATAGAATAAAAGGAAGGATAAAAAAGGAGGAATTTAGTTTGTTGTAGTTCATCCAAAGAGGAGTCTCCATCTGACAGCAGGAGACGAGACTCATTTAAAAAACACAAGGCCAAGCAGAGATAGCAAATCCACTCAGTTGTTGTCATCAAATAATAAACAGACCTACATACATTATGGATCCTTTTTGTAAATCCCTTTTATTCCCAGCATCCCTAGGCTGCCAGCTACTGTCACTCTTTCAGAACAATTCAAAAGAAGTGAAACCCAGAGAGCTGTGGATGATTAACTTTTCATAAAGAAAGCATATGAAGTGATTGGCAGGAGACCAAGAACTCGCTCATGATTCAGAGCCCTGCATTTAATACTCCAGTGTCTGGCAGCAGTCTGACGCTGACACAGGAATTCGACAACCTTAAAAATAGTACAGTGATGACTGTATGGTTCATCAAAAATTCAATCGTTTTCCAAAATGTACAAGCCATGCCTTTTTTGGATTTCTCTGCATTCTCATTTCCCAGATCTCAAGTGACTTTGGAGACATTTCATTTCTGATAAAGTCAAACAGTTTCAACTTGAAATATAGCTGCAGTGCAAGTCAAATGGGGATTTAAAAGTCACATTTAACACCAAAGGATGGCAGCTTCTCCCTGCTATGGTGGACTCTAACAACTGAGCAAGTGATGTGGATGAATGTGCTAGAATAACAAGATGGCTGGTTGAACTCCCCTCAGGGGGCACTCCATGGCTTGGTCAACAGCCAAGGAGAACTGTGAGCTGGAGTGGAGGAATCCAACCTCAACACAGGAATTTGCATGACTTTGCAGAGTGATCTCTAGACCAACACATTACAGTGGACCTAGGTTCCTCTGAGCTGCAAACTCACA